CGCCAACCAGGGTTCTATGGGCTATGGGGTTCTTTACATTGGTTACCATCACTTTTGTGGTCTGGAATGCATACACAGTCCTGATCAAGCAGAGAAGTGAAGGTTTTACAGCTTTTTTTTTGTAAGCAACACCTTGGCGGTTCAACTACATTGGGGTAAAGCTGGAAATTATGTAAATTTGATTTTCCACCACACCATCATTTTAAAAATGAGATGTAAAGCCATGCTGGGCAACACAGCCTTCAACAACATTAGCATGTAGATATACTGTACAAATCTATCTAGCACCCATCTTGGTGTAGCACTCTGATATCTGCACATTGCTTATATATGAGATGCTGTGAAGATCTGCTTAATTGAATGAATTCAAATGGGGTATGAATGTATATCGGAGTATTGCAGAGACGAGAGTGTTACATATGATGGAGCATACTAGAGCAAATTTTAGCATGATGGCAATAATTCAGTAGTGTTTTACAGACAGTGTGATTATACATGTTTTTATCCAAGATCTTTGGACAAAAAGGACCTGGATAAACAGCCTGTGCTGTCAGGACACTCCCTCACACTCTCACCCCCACTTAATGAGCCCACCCCAGCGATTCGGACAGTTGGGCTACTGTGAGAATCCTGCAGGATCATTATAGAAGTTTTAAAGGAACATTTCTCCACCAGCTGTCATTCTAGTAAAGGCCATTCTTTACTCGGTCAACACGGTCCTTACACAGTCTGTCTAAAGCATCATAGAGACACAGCACCAGCTCATTAGAGAGAGAGAGAGAGAGAGAGAGAGAGAGAGAGAGAGAATGTAAAGTGACAGAAGAAAGAGACATCTAAAGGGAGCTGAAGACTTCAGAGACGGTTGTACTGAAGCAGAAGGTGAATGTAAGGTGAAAGTATAATAATGTATGAAGGAAAGAAAGGAGGATGTAGTGCAGAAAAAGAGCAACAAGTCGTCATAACGACATTGTCATATCGAAATCCCAGAACCCCCATTTTTCCCTTGGACATTATAGTTCCCTTTGTAATGCCTTTAGCAAGCCAGCAATGATGATAATGAACTGGCTGCTTATTACTGCTTTATTACATAGGGTATATTAAATATTTCTCAGACCTATTTTATTTGTGTATTATGCATCATAATCTTTTGCATGACATCTTAGGCATTCACTATTAAGTCTTTTGGTAACTTTTCAAACCAATGTCTGCTAATTAACTGGCCTTTTATAACTACTTTATTAAGCAATAGCTATAGTGAATTAAGCATTTTCAAAGTAGGTTTACTTGTCTTATTTATGGTGTCCTTATTGTTCTCTTATCAAGCCAGATTGAGCCAATAGCTGGTAACAAACTTAGCAAATCAAAAACTGTTAATTCATTGGTTATTATTACTTTATTAAGTAACAGCTAGGCTGAATTAAGCACCTCCAAAACATATTTATGTGTATTATTTGCTGTTTATTAATGCAGTTATTAAGCCTAATTAAGCCAAAAGCTGGTTGCTTATTGCTACTTTCTTAAGCAATAATTAGAGTGAATTCAGCATTTCCAAAACACATTAATTTGAGGATTATTTCCAGTGTCCTTTTTAAGCCCTTGTTTAGCCTTACTAATAACTTTTCAAAGCAATAGCTGCTTATTAACTGAATGCTTATTACTACTTTATTAAGAAATAGCTACTGTGAATTGAGGATTTCTAAAGCACTTTTATTTGAGGATTATTTGTAGTGTCCTTTTTAAGCACTTGTTTAGCTTTACCAAGCCACAGTAGTGGGTAACTAACTTTTTAAATCAATAGCTTCTTATTTGCTGGATGCTTATTACTACTTTATTAAGTAATAACAACAGTAAATTAAACATTTCCAAAACACTTTGAATTGTTTGTGGTGCCTTTATTGAGCACTTGTTTAGCCTTACCATGCCAACAGTGGGTAAATAACTTTTCAAACCAATAGATACTTATAACTGGATGCTTATTACTACTTTATTAAGCAATAACTACCGTGAATTAAGCATTTCCAAAACACATTTATTTGAGAATATTTGTGGTGTCTTTTATTAAACACTTGTTTAGTCTTATCAGGTCAACAGTGGGTAATTAACTTTTCAAATCAACAGTTGATTATTAGCTGGCTGCTTATTACTACTTTTGCGACAATAACTACTGTGAATTAAGCATTTCAAAAGCACTTTTAATTGAGTATTATTTTAAGGGTCCTTATTGGGTATTGATATGAATCAAAAGAATAGAAGCACATGGACCCTCTGAGTTAAGTGTTGTGCACAAGATTTTAAGAACACAAATAAAAGTGCATTGGAAAATGCTTCATCCTAGTTATTGCATTATAAAGTAGTATCAGCTGTAATTTTACCATTTTCTGTTCAGACAATTTGAAAATACCAGCTGTTCTCTATGTTGTGTGAACAGTTCATGATCAATGGTTCGATAGATATACTCCAAGAATTACTTTGAGTGAAATCTTTATTGAGAATTTGTTTTGTAATAAAGTTAATATTTCAGAAATACAAGGTTTTGTTATGCTAGCAATAATATTCCTGACATTTTGGCCTTTACATTGCGTGCACATTTCATGATCAAAAAAAGTCTGGTTCCATTGACTTACATTAAAAGTAAAGTATGTTTTTTTTCCTTCTCCTGTAAAGTTACCATTTTGGAGATACGAGGTTTTGTTCCAACAACAGTGATATCATATGTGACGCAGAGCCACCACAGTAAAGATTTGACTGCATTCTTGTCCGTGCAGCATGAGTATCTTATGAACATGTTGCCATCACACAGCTGCAAGCTCTAGATATGAAAGCTCTGACCACAAGCTAATGTGGTCACAGCCTTCATATTTATTGCAGCCTCAACATATTAAAGTAAACAAACGCTGTGTGGCCACAACTCTCCCATGAGCTCCTGTAATTGGATTTCTTTGACGTATGAAGGAAGCTTATGCTGAGAACACACCAAGGATGGGCAGCTCTGTTCCTGGAGCACCACAACAATTTAGTCCTAATTTGACGCAAAGGTTTTCGTGTGACGGGAAGGAGCAGGTGATTGTCAAAACAATGCTACAGCACAAGCTGTGTACAATGGCTCAGCCCTGTGAGATACAGTGACTGTTAATAACTTTTACAGAGGGGGGCCAACAAGCCGATACACAACATTTCTGTTTTGTCAATGTTTATTTTATCTCATTTTAACAAAGCAGGTGTTTGAAAATTTCACAATAAATGGATCAATAGAAAGACACCAAAATCACTTGGGAACAAATGCTTTATATTAACCTACATTAAAAGTAATGAACGTTTTTTCCCTCTCCTGTAAAGTTACTATTTTGGAGATATGTGAAGAGTTCATTTCCAAAAACAGATATCTCCATTTTAATAATTGTGCATTCCAGGTCATATCAATAATTGTGCATTCCAGGTCATATCAATCAAACTGTACTTGGGTTGCTTTGATTAACTAAAAATAACAACAGAATACAGGTAACTTACAAAATTAAATGTTATTTTATTTTTTTATTCTTTTATTCAAATTTTGTTGTTTGGCAAAAGCAGATAAATCTAATGCTCATTTCATGTTTTAGAGTTAAACAAAGCCATTTAATGGATATAAGTTCCCTTTAAGTGCAGTGATTAAGATTAATGGTCAATATTAAACATCTAGAAGATCAGAGCTTGGAAAATTCTAAGGCTGAATCTCAAATGCCTCACTGCTCCCCATAGAATGCCTTATGTGAGTTATGAAATTTTGCCTTTTACAACCAAATATTGCGCTTTATGTCCAGTATGAATTGGCTGAATCCAGAGTGCTTCGCTCAGTTTAGTACCTTCTTTCTGAGATGGTGCGTGTATCCTTGTTGGCGGAGAGCCTGAAGTTACTCACTAACCTAAGCAGATTAGCTAATGACTTCAGGTTAGTTTAAGTGCAGTGTTAATTAGTTTTTGTCTAGTTTAGTTTTAATAATTTTAAAAAGATTTTGTCTCTTGTAGTCGTATCATTTATTCATGTAAGCCTGTTTGACTGAAATGACAGTTTTAGTCAACAAAACTGTGCACATTTGCCTAACTGTGTATGTCCAGTGCAGGCCACTAGTGTTTCTTAACCAGCTAATATTGGAAAGTTGGTGAGATGGCTCTGGTTACTCTACCAAGGAAAATATTATAAATCAATTACACCTACAATGTACAGCCTGCCTGCCAATTGTCTCTGGACAGGCTATTGTTCTAACCAGCTAGCTAACAGGCTAACAAGATCCTCCAAATGTTCACAGACAGGTTTCAAATTCAATTAGACTTGTCTTGGACAAGTTATTGGCTAACAAGATCCTTCTTTGTTTGTCAGTCTGTCGATGTCACAACGCTACCCTTCCAGACAAAATAAAAGTAAGTCTCTAGCATGAAAAATCCCAAGATATTTATTCCTTTACGAACAACGTCCTTTGATATCGCTTACAACATTGTTGGCTTGTAAGGGTTAAGCTGGCCTTGTTATAAGTGACATTACGGCAAGTGTGAGAATCTGACCACATAACACCACTAACACCGCATGGCTTGGTGTTACCATAACATTGAAAATTGCATAGGTACGCTAACGGTGAATGAGAATTATCTGCTTGACACTCACCTTGTTCAGCTATCTGGCATTTGGACACCACATTTGTCTTTGATAATTTGCTCAAATAAAGCATATATTTAAAAGTGATCGAATGTTATTTTCATTTCATCATATGGTTGTCATCAATAAGTTGTAATTAAAATCGGTCTTGGCGCTGATTCTCATTATCACTGGCGGAATCAGAAAGTCCCCTGTCAACGAGTTTTCAGCAGTCAATATTTTGACTATATTAACATTGTTGAGTGTACAACAACAAGAAAATGGCTTTGCTTTGCAGTGTACAGGACTACAGCTGGTCCCTGGACAAGGCCCGTGCATTTAAAGTGCATGAAAGTGTGAGGAGAAATAGAAAATCGCCCATGGCACTGACCTGTAGAATCTGGCAGCGGTCGGAGGTGCAGTCGATGTTTTCACAGGGCTGGTACATTCCCAGAGTGACGCAGTTGAGCAGGATCACCATGATGCTGATGCGCTCGAACCAGGTGAAGGCACAAGAGTCAAGGATCACATCAGATATACAACATTCAAACACAGCAGCATTTGACAGAGCATCACCATTAATTAGATTTAGCATAAGAACTTTAATAAAAGCAAGACACAGTTTCCCATGTGCTTTGTGAGGCTTTCATCTATTAGCCCATCTAATGAGTGAATTCAACTACTTTAACGCTTTAACACTAAGGACTAGGCTCAGAAATGGCTACCTTGATGTGTGTTGTTATTTTAATACAATACACCACCTACAAGTGCTTAGTATCATCTGATTCAACTTTACAGTAAACAGCTATTGAACATAACTATTACATATTAAAGACAAAACTAGTATGCAAAAGCAAAAACAATATTTTTTTTAAAAAAAGAAGAAAACAAAAACCAAGAACATATAGAACTAAGCAATTTGAATGAATAATCCAAACATTGAACCACTTTGTGAACTTATGGAAGTCACTTGAAGCCTCTACTGATGTGTATAGCTGTCTAGCTGTATAAAGCCTCCTTATAACTGCCCTTGAACACCATTTCTAGTATTTCAGCACCCATCTTGAAGAAAATCTTGTTTGTTGAAAGTCATATTTGGTAGGAGGTTCCCTGAAACTAAATCTCTACTTACATTGGATCTCCGGAATGGTGTATTTTATCCTCCGATTGGCTACCAAGCAATGACAAAACTAAAACATGGAAAAAATTTCCAACAAACTGCAACCTGTATACGGGTCAATGACAACATTTTCAAAATGACATTTTTAAATATCTTACTAAAAAGGACATGATGTGCATTTTTACATTTGCACATATATTTACATTCACACCTATGTGCATTTTAGATCTTAAATATAATTAGTGTTATTGAAGCTTTTAATTGCCTTTTTCAGGGTTGGTTGCGCCACCTGACTTTTCAGACTAATTTCAAATTAAACAGCTATCTACCCAAACACCCATAGAAACCTTTGTGCTTTCAAATAAGTAAACAGTTATAATAGTGACACATTTGCATGGTTCACCTGAGGTCAGACCACCTGACATTATAAACTGAATTACTCTAACCATGACTCAAAAATCATGTTTTTTCCAAAAGTTGTGAAATATCTACTGACCTTGGCATTGCACCATGAAGGTCACTTGGGGTCTTCTTAATGATGCAATACTCTGGCCTGTCTTTTGGAAAAGTATGTCAAAAAAAAGTCCTTTGTTTTTGGTTATGCTGCCTAACATATAATGAGGTAAGAACTAAGTAAGCAGACAGTGAGTTGAGTACTAAAGTTGTCTCAATTTGCAACATAGTTTTTATTTAAAAGTTTTCAAACATAAAATCATGCAAAACTATTTCATTTACAAATTAATCTAACTAAACTACCTTTTCTGATAGTTTACTGAATCAACATGTATGTTGGACGGTTGCAACACCAGACATTTTTAGACTTTGGAGGCAACTAAAATGAATTTTGTGTGGACGCACCGAAAATTGGCCTAAGAGAGATATTGTTGAATAATTCCATATATGGCATGTACTTGGGAAAATAATGCTCAAAAAATGCACATCATGACCTACACACTGATCTAATTGACAGGCAATAAAAATAACTTTGCATATGTATTGTAGATCTGTCCTGGTATTTCACAGGGAAATATGACACATATGGCATATCGTCAGAAAGATGAATGTTGTTAACATCTCAAATGGTTGTAAAGTTCTCTGCACTGATGCAGCTCCATCCAGTACCTTTGGGATGGGTTGGGGTGGCGTTTGAGATCCAGAACTGCTATCCAACGTCAGTACCTGACCTCACTAATGCTTTTGTACCTGAATGCAATCAAATCCCCACAACATCTTGTGTTGGAACATGTCCCTCCCTGAGGATGGCTGTTACTGTGGAAAAGGCGGGGGTGGGGGGTGGAGGGGGACAAAATCATTAATAATACCCTTCATTTCAGAAGAAACACTGGATGAGCAGATGTCTACATAAAACAGTGTGTCAAACGGCATCATAAACCACATCAGCCAGTCTATTTGAGATGACTTAGTAGCTCCACACAGTCTGAACTGAATGTGTAATGCTTTAGGCATGCTGTAGGCACAATGCTTATTGGTGGACTATAAGCCTCTACTACTTGTTAGCTTCATTAGCCTCGTAGCTCCAGTGCAAAAACTAAACACCAAATCTCATCTTCTCTGATTGTCTATGTTTGGCTTAAGGGGGGGAAAACAGTATAAAATTTTCATCAAACTATTCCTTCCGTGCAATTTAGACATTTATGTCAGCCTTGAGAGGTTTGTTAAGTGTACAAGATAAGGATTCCTTCTCTTTAGAAGTAGAAGAGAATGACAAGCCCCAGCGTACACGTCAAACTGAGCTGCGCGGTTAAATATTTTCTCCATTTTGACAATTACAGCCTACAAAAGTGTCTGAAATCTGACGTCTGCAGTATATAACTTCTAGAGCAATCTGAGCAGAGCTACAGCTTCAGGCTCTCTCACTAAATCAGTCCTGCTCTCATCTGTCCACCTTTATGGACCATTTCTTTTTCAATTTACTCCCTTACAGCGCTTCCTCCCTCTAACTCGCTCAAGCTTTTAGCTAGCTATTGCTTTTCTCCTGTTAGCACACATCATCTCTTTCTCCTCTTATCTTTCTTTGATTCTCTCTGTCGTGTTTGAACACATCACCTTTCACTCACTCACTCACTCTAATCTCCAACCCCCCACTCCATCTGTGCTCCGTCGGATGGTCTCTGCAGCGTTTGAACTGAGCTAGCCGTAAGGCAGGGAATGATCTAGCGGGTGCCGATGTTTAGCACAAACCCGGAACTTCTCTCACTTATTAGTGCTTAATAGAAATGCACTTCACCCGTAACAGGCCCTCTGGCACTCTGGGAAATATGATTTATGGGCATTCTTCTTCTATTTTTTTCTTGCCTTGTACTGTCCCAGCCTTTCTAGGCATTAGTGTCCATGCGGATCGCTGTTAGCATGTAAAAAAGGCTGAGGAATTAGCAGCGGCAGTGGCTGCGCTTTGAACTTCAGCGGATGATATTCTAAAGAGCCTTTGAGGGTTATTTTCCTCCTTGCCTTTAATCATTGATAGCAAAGAATGCCAAGCCCAAAGGGGAAAGCACGTCCGTGTTACGTAAGCGAGCAGTTTGCTATGGTTACCTGCAGGGGCGTCACTAGACCTGATTTAATGGGGCGGTAAAATGTTGCTTTACCCCACCATAACCAAGGGGGGAGGAAGTCAATACATAAGCCATAAGGTTTTTCTTATAAACTGCCCATTTCAGTAATCAAGCGGATTTAATACAAACACTACATTTCCCATAGTGCCCCACTGTCTTTCTTTTCAATACTTTCAGCTTCCATGTAAAGCAACTGTTATCAATACAGAGCTAGCCATAAAGCACAATTATTGTTTATTTGCTGAATTTAACATATTGGAATAAAATGTGGCCTGTGCAAAAGTTATGGCACCCTTTATATGTTATGCTTTGTTTTTTTTCCATCATGCTAAACTTATAATAAGTAGACACTCTGAACAAAATTAAAAAAATTCATAAGCTCCTGTAGAGGATATGCTACCTTGAATCAACAATCTGTAATTTTGTAACCAGGGGTGTCCAAACGTTTGCATACACACATTTATAGCAAACCAACCACAGAGCAGCCAGAATAATGCTTATGTTAAGGTTAGCCCAGCTTGTAGCTTTACATGTACCAAAAATGCATATTATATCAAAGGCTGCTATTATGTAGTGCAATTAAACGCAATACATGAGATCACCATAATTCATTTGAGCCCACTACATCAATTTTGTGATTTTGTTTCTGCATCAGTTCATGCTGACTGGATAACACAAGCGAAATGAGCAGTTGCATGTGTGTGAAGCGAAATAACTAAATAATTAAATTAAAAATACATTAGCCTTCCCATGGGGAGAGAGCAGGCAGAGAAAAAGCGGAGAGCAGAAGTGAGAAGCAAAACGGAAAGACAACTTGTGCTGGTTCTAATATTCAGTCATAAAGATGCATCCTGCTGTTTTTCATGCAGACCGTTCGGCCTACAGTCATGCGACCAGCAAACAAAGAGGTTAGGCAGTGCCTCCCTTAATTCTGTGTGCAATCAGCAGTCTGGAAACACCGCTGGTTACCAGAATGAAGAACAAAAACTGCTCTCTCTTTTTCTGCAGTGCCTTATTCTTCAGGCACTACCTCTCTGATTGTGACCCTACAGATGACTTCTACTGTCCACAATGGAGGCCTAAAAAACACTTATATGGCATGAGCACTTAAAAGGCTGAAAGTCTATGTCTACTTGAATGTCCATTAAAGGTCATTTTGACCGTCTAAATTTTGCATGTTTATTTTTATCACAGTAGAGAATAATTGAAAAAAAAACAAATGGTAACACTTTATTTGGAGTGGTCCTTTGTAGATGATTAATAAACTCTAAATAGAGTATCAGTAACACATCATAAACATATCAGTGGAATAGCAGTAGTGACGCATCTGAATACACTTGAGTAAATATCTTGTAGACGTTCTGTTGATTACTTCCATTAAGTAAATGTATTGTTAATATGTTACTTCCGTACTGGCCTTAATCCTAACCTTAACCTCAACCCAAAACCTAATCCTAACCCTCACCCTGGCCCTAATCCTAACCCTACCCTTAACCTCAACCCTAAACCTAATCCTAACCCTCATATGTTTTTGACATGATACTGAAAGTCTGCTGGGTGTTTGTTTCATCCAAAAGGACCACTCAAAATAAAGTGTCACCAAACAAATACTTTAGTTTTGTTGGAATATGACACAAGAAATTTTAGGATGACGTATTAAGTTAGATTTTTAGAACCAACTGCATGATTTTCATATAGTGTTCAAACACAATTTTTTTCCAAATGGAAATGCCACAAATGATGTCACAAAGGACATCGCTCACGTCTCTTTAATGGGGCAGTAAAATGTTGCCTTACCCCACCATAATCA